TTAAGTCCCCTCACACAGGCCACTTCTGACAGGAGGCTGCCGTACCAACACATGGTTTTCTGTAGGGCAGCCCAGAGCTTTCTTTGACTCCTGAGGGGATGTTCACCTCTCATTTACTTTCATAAAGAAAACTTTCTTTTTTTTTAAATAAAGGAAACCAAAAATGAGCGTTTTGGACCTAGTTCTGTAGATGACTTCTCCTTCTGGATTCTCTTAAAACAGGACCTGCAGTCTGGTGTGGCCTTGGTTTAATCCAGAACCTTCTCACAGGCTTGCAAAAGCGTTTCGGGTTTGCAGAGTTCTCGTGGAGCCCGAGGCAGGGCCACCTGCTGGGTCCAGGTGTCCTTTTCCTGTCCGAGGCTCCCACAGTGACCGTTACATGTCCCACTCCTAGCCAACGGCTTCTGTGGCTTCACAGAGAAACTGTTTCCTGAGGTAAGAGGAACATGTCGGTGGGAGGGCCACAGAAGACAGATACAGATGCTTATTCGAAATCCTTTTTCTCTTAAATGCAAGTAATCACCCAGTGACACCTGTGTCACATCCCTCAACCAACTGCCGCACCTTCACTTTCAGAGAGGACTCAGTACTTGGACCATTCACGAACCCTCTGGTCACCTTTCCTATAAAAACTACACTACAAAGTGAATAAGCCAGACCCGCTCCCAACCCACCCGTTTCAGTCTTCACAGGAACGGACCTGAGACAGCGGGGCGTCTGTAGGGAGTCCCTACAGTGGCCTCCTCTTGTCCTTGTCCCAGCCCTTATACTGGGGGAGGGAAGCTGGGTGTGAAGTGACTGATGGAGACAGGAGTCTGGATTCTGGCCTGTGCTCGAAACCCAAACTCAATCTACTCCAAGGGCGGCGACCCATAGCGAGGCCTGGGGAGGTCCCAGGAGACAGGCCGCCCCGAGCAGCTGTGTCGGGCTGTGCTGGTGGCGGTCCCCGGGAAACCCTGAGGCAACCTTCAACCTGGTTAAGGTAACTGACTCTTCTGTTGACCAGCAAAGGTCTCCAGGAAGAGCCAGGCTGTGTGGGGAACCTCACCATCCCTACAAACCAGGAATCTGCTCCATGATATCTAGGTGGGGGGTGCCTCTCTTGTACCCTCCATTTTATTTAGGATGGGTACACAGCAGACCTATCTCTTCATGCTTTTCCCACAGGTATGGGTCCTTCAAATTGTAAACAGTGCTGTGTGGTCAAGAGGCCAATGACCATTGGACCACAGGGCAACCTGGCAGTGATCGCGTACTGCTGGTCTCCCCGAATCCCACTGCCGGCCCTCACGCAGACAGACTCTCCGAGCGCAGCAGGACGCGGGTGCAGACGTGCAGTGTGAGGGTCTAGGAGGTAGAGCAGCTGAGGGGGTGCGGCCGCCCCCGCCGGGCTCGAGAGCTTCACGGCAGATGGCTTTCGGTGCTCGGACGTCTCTCCTACTCCCTGTGGCCACCTGTCCAAGGGAGGCCGCACCCACGCACAGAACGAGGAAGGGCAGCGCTCAGGTGCTTGGCAGTTCGTGGGGGGTCCAGCCAGGTCCCTGAGAGTCCCCCGTCGTGGAGGCTGGGGCAGCCCTGGGCGGCCAGCCGGCCGGGCTCTCGGCAGCGGGCTGGGGAGGGCAGCAGCAGCACAGCGAGAGGAGCCGCGTGCGGACCACACGGGTGCAGAGCACGAACATGATGCAGTTGGCGCCTCCCTGAAACGTGTTCCCGATCCCCTGCGCCGAGCAGAGAGAGGGGGCGTGAGCGCCAGGGCGCGAGGGGGCTCCAAGCGATGTGGGCCCCAGAACCTTGTCCTCCGCCCCTCGGGGCTAGTCTGCGATGACCCTGATGCCGGGGCCTTTGGCAGAGCTCTGGGCAGGTCCTCACCTGCAGACCAGTCAGCTCCCTTGGGGCTACTCGCAGGAGCTGGACAGCACCTCGACACCCCTGGCCAGCCACACTGCCCTTCCGCTCTCTCTCCAAGGCTCCCTGCCTCGGGCAGGAAGGGAGACGGCAGGGAGCCCAGGCCCTGCCCGCCTGGCGCTGGCTGGTGGATCGGGACATGGCCACGCAGCCGGGAAGCCATCTGGGGCGGAGGGGGGAGCAGGGCTACTCACGTGCAGAATGACCAGCACCGGTGTCTGCACCGCTGGGGAGCCGCAGAGGGTCAGGACAAACCGCACGGTGCTCCAGACCCGGAGGCAGATGAAGATGAGCGGGATGAGGACCAGTTTCTTATCCACCATGGAGCTGTGGTGCTGAAGCCGGTGCGCCTCGGAGAGGATGGGCCGGTACTCGGAGAGCGCCTCGTGCTGCGCGGGGACCACCAGAGCAGACTCAGCGGGTGTGGCCGCCCGCGCCCCGCCCACGGGGCCGCCCCCAACACCGCCCAGGGCTGCCTGCCCCGCCCCCACCGCCCGCCGGCCGACCTCCTTCCCGGGGACCCAGCGGCGCGAGCAGGAAGCGGGGAGGCGTGCGCGGCCTCCTGCCCGGCTCCCACCTCCAGCCCAGGTCCTTCTCCTGAACTTGCATCCACTGCCTGCGCCACAGCGCCACACGGATGTCCAAGACACAGCTGAACGCGCGGCGCTCGACCGCGGCCCCCGAGCCCACTGTGCGCTCCCCACCGCGGCTCACGGACATCTGGGCGTAGTCTTCAATCCCTCTTTTTGCTACAGCTGACATCCCCTCCGCGGGCAAGTGCTGTGGGCTCTACCTTCCAGGGACCCAGAATCTGGATGTTCTGTCCTCCGCCATCGCCACCAGCGTGGTCCAAGCACCCTCCCAGCTTCTCCGGAGAGCTGCGACTGCCCCTCGACTGCTCTCCCGTCACCCTTGCCATCCGATGCCCTCCCCACCACCGTTTTGTCCTCAGCACGGTCCCTGGAAAACGCGTCAGATCGAGCCAGTCTTCCACCCAAAGCCCTTGGCGGTGCCGCATTTCACACATTCCTTACCATGTCCCCCGCCCCGGGCGAGCTCTGGCCTCATCCCTACTGCTTCTAGCCACACAGGTCTTCTTATTTGTCCCCAGATGTGCCAGGCCCACCGAAGGGCTTTGCACAAGCTGTTCCCTCCTGCAGAATGCGTTTCCCCACCCATCGACATGGCCCACCCCTCATCTCCTCTGGTCTGTGCCCCAGTGTGCCTTCTGGACAAGGCCTACCCTGACGACCCCACCCAGCCGCGAAGGCATCTCCCGCTCACTCTGTCCCCAGAGCCAGCTCTTTGCCTCGGTCTGTGTTTTCACAGCTCTTATCACCCTCCTTCCCAGACATCATTCTCCCCTGCTTATCCAGCGCACTGTTTATGGTCACCCGCCCCCTCCAGGCTCCACCCGCAGGAGGGGCTCACAGGAGGGGCTCCGCCCCAATCCCTCCACCCCCACCCCGGAAAGAAGAGCGGGCAGCACCAGCTCCGGCTTCCCTGCCCCCAAGGAATGCCTTCAGTGAGAGGAAGGGGGAGGAGGTTCCACTTCCAGATGGAGACTGAATTTGTAAAAATAGACAAAACGGCTCCTAACAAAAATGCATTTTTGAGCCCGGTCCTGTGTCGGGGACATGGAAGGCCAATGTGAGGGGAGGAGACGCGCACTCTGGCATCTCTGGGCACCCGAGCGGCTGTGACTCACCTGCTCAGGGCACCTGCCTCCTCCCCTGGGGCCTTCGGCAGCAGCCCCTTCCTTCCAGAACGGGGTGCGGCTGCGGACCAGCCAGGGCGGCTGGTCTGAACCTCTCCAGAGCAAAGTCTGCTCCAGCCCCTTGATTTTTAGCTCTCCTCCCTGCTAGAGGCAGGGAATGACTCGCGCACCATCGCCTCCCGCCCCCTGTTCTTCCATTTTTCTGGAAACGCTTTGGGAGCGGAGGACCCTTTCTCACACACAGGGCCAGGCCCCGCCTGCTCTCAAGACAGACACAGACGGGCAGCCTCAGGGAGGGGTCCTGGGCAGAGCCGATAGAGCTCTGGGAGTCCTCATCTGGGGGCCTGGAACCCTCCTAGGGCAGTGGAAATGAAGAGGGAGTGAGGAGGGCACCCCCACCCAGGCAGGACGCCAACTCAAAGGCCACAAGAAGACAGAGGATTTCAGAGCAGCTGGTAAGGCTGGCTGGCGTCAATCCAGCTGAGCCAGAAGGGGCGGCAGGGAGGGTGAGAGTCAGTTCAGTTTCCGAGTAAAGAGAGAATCGGAACTCTTGACTCAGATGGGAGTATAGGGTCGGGGTCAGGTGTCACCGACAGCCACAAGGAACACCCTACAAACTCGGAAATGGCTGCTGAGCCAACTGTCTGCCTGGGAAGATGGGGACACGCTGTGCTGCAATTTCAGCCTTGAAAACTCGGGGTGCTGCCCAGGGACCCAGCAGGGTGAGCACGGAAGTCTGTGTCTGGGGTTTCTTGCGACCCTGTCTTGCCGCTCCCGCTGCTTGCCCCATCACGGCTACTTGCACTTCCGCCTCTCAGGGACGGCAGGACCCGCGTCTGAGTTCTCATGAGCAACGCCCTCCGCCAACAGCACTTTTGCGTATAGTAGATGCTCAGGAAAAACGTGCTGAGTGAACCGCTGAGCAGACCACCAGACGGGTTAGCCCGAGGCTCTTTCGGGCAGCAGCTTGCTTGTGGCTAGGAGGACGCCCACACTTCACATTGCAGAACCAGTAGTTAAGGACAAGGGACAACTGGGCCAGGTCGTCAGAGAAAAACCATCCTTTCCTAGAATTTCTAGCCAGTCCAAGTGGTCAGAAGTCTCCTAGACTCCTGGCCATCTGGCCCAGCCATTGATTTATGCAAAGTCTACCATTTACGCCCTAATTCTAACCGACAAGGACAATGAGGTGAGTTCTTCGCCTCACTGACGAGAGACCCCACGGCCTCCCCTCCCAGTCCCATTCTTACTTGGAAACTGCTCACCTCTCACCCAGATTTCCCTGGAGGTTGGGCCACCACAGCGGCCTGTCCAGGAGGGGGCAGTAGAGGGCTGTGGCCGAGCACAGAGGCTGGGGTGCTGGGCGAGCCTGGGGAGTCCCCAGTTCCTCACCCACAAACGCGGGGTCACAGGACGAGGCTGTGCAGTCAGCCGGGCAGACAACCCACAGTGCATGCAGCTCAGTGCAGGGCAAACGCTCCGCCACTCCGGCCTCTCTGGCCCCTAAGGTGGCCGACTCCAACGCCAGGACACGGCAAGCGCGCATCGGGCACCAGGGCCGCGCGGCGCTCGGGCGGGGGCGGGGTGGGGGGCGGACCCCTCGAGGGCCGGCGCGGGCACCTACCGCCCTGTTTATGTGCTTCCTGATGAGGAGGTAGAGCGCCGGCAGCGCGACGTAGGCCAGCAGCTCCCACAGCTTCCCGGTCAGCAGCATCCACAGCACGCGGTCCTCGGCCCCCAGGTCGATCCAGCACCAGCCCACGGACACGTCCGAGGCGTCGTAGCCGATCTTCTTTAGGGTGACAGCTGCCACAGTGATGGCCAGCGGAACCCCCCAGCTGAGGGACGAGGCACAAACGCCACCGAGGTCAGGCTCCGCCCAGCCAGCAAGGGCGAAGTGACAGAGGCTCTTCCTTTGGGAGAACCACACTGCCCCCAGTGCCCTGGAGAGAAGGGGGCAGGAGACTCAGGAACCCCCCACCCCAGCCTGCTTTGCCTGAGCCCTGCCAAGCCCACCCCAATGCCACACGGCCAGCCCCCCAGTCAGCCCGGGTCTAGGGGTGCAGACGCCGGCGGCTTGGGGTTGCTTGGGCAGGGAGTTCCCGGGTCCCGGGTACCTGCAGCAGGATCTGGAAGGGGGCTGCGGCCTTGGGTGGACACGCCCCCAAGATCCTGAGGCCTCCTTGCTCTCTGGGAAGGGGGCATAAAGCCCAGGGCCAAGCCCTTCCCAGGGCAATGAGGTGCTCATGATGATTCTAGAGTTTAATGACTAGCTCCTGAGCGCTGAGGCCCTCTCCAGTGTCCCTGCGAAGCATTTTAGATGGGTCAGTGGACACACAGACGCCGCCCAGCACCACGGCAGGGCAGTGGAGGGCTGGCTGCCATGCCACCGGCGGGGTCCGCGTCTCAGATTTGCCCCCGCCTGGCCTCAATGCATCAGCGTTTTTCCCCCCGCAAAGTGGGAATGACAGCAAGGCCGACAGCACAGTATCACAGTAAGTCATTATGGAAATAAATTAGCGTATTAACTAGCATAAGTCCCGTGCACAGGACAGGGTGTGTCAGTGCTTACGACCCCCTGCAGTGCGGGCGCCAGGAATGAGTGAGACCCGTGCTCTTTCCGCCCCAGGAACTGGACACCTGGGTCTGTGTCCTGGGTCAGTCACCGGGACAACGAGCAATATCTAACCAGGGCAATGTCATCAGTAAATGTTTAGTTCAGAAGTCGGTTGGTTATGTTTTGAGAGCTCTGTGGAAGGAATATCGGCTCTTTCTGGAAGTTGAAGAACAATGACGAGATCGGCTGCTCGTTGCCAAAACGAAGCTAGAAGGGCTGTGTGTCCATAAGGTTCGAAATGCCACAGGGCTGCGGAGGACGCAGGGTGGGGACCGCATGGCACGGAGAAAGTCAACTCCCTGCCCGGGAAGGACTCACAGTACAGGACACTTTCAGAACAACCTGCCCTTCTCTCCCCTCGCCGGCTTCTGCCACAAGGGGAGTCACCTGTGCCCTCAGTGTCTGCTCCGCTGACAGTGGGGAGGCAGGAAGCAGCGTGTCCTCCCTGAAGTCACGGAGGTGCACAGAAGGGGCAAAATCCCACAAAACTTAAAGGGGTATGAGAAAGGTACCCAGTTATACCCAGTAGGTTGTCCGTGTTAAATATTTCTTCTAAGCAAAGTTACTTATCTGGTAAGTTCATGCAGATTTGTGTAAAACTGTTTTGTCGTAAGAAAGGGGTGACCGCTTTAGAACTCATGCCATCCTGAGACTTTAGGACGACATGTCACAGCTGTGAGCCCATGAGGGTGAGGGCCGTGTTGCTTCACTATTCTATCATCAGGTAGGGGCAAAACAAGGGCTTGCTGAATGAATGGATGAATGAATGAATGAACAAATGAATGAACAAACGAACTCTGAGCCAAGTGACTGAGGCAGCTTTTCTCAATTCACTCCTTAAATATTCACTGCAAGCACGTTATTGAAAAGGAAGTAAAAGGCTTTAAAAATGCTCAAACTGCAACCCTGATGTTACGTGTCTTGGTTTTCATCACGTTATGGTCTACAGAGCTCCTCCAAGGGATTCTGGGAAGGGAAAAGCAGTGTGTGTCGGGACGGTCACTGTGATCCTGGAGGATGGACCGGAGGCCTCTGCTCCTTTCCCCTTTGCTCGGCATCCTGACGGCCCTTCCAGGAGACCTGGGGACCACACGGTGACAGATCACATTCTGTGACTCTAGGGGTATTCTCCCAAAGCTATGAAGTGATGTGTTTCCTCGGTGTAACTGGGAATACTCAGCCCAGTTCTGAGTCCGTGCTGGAAAACACCTGGAGGAGACCAAAGAGGCAGAGGGCTGCGAAAGAGTTCAGAATGTGGGCTGAGCAATTAGAGTCGCTGTTTGAACTTGAGCACAGGTGGCAGCTACATTGGGGCCAGAAGCTGTTCTGGGAGATATTTAAGTGGGAGGTGGTGAGAAGCAGTGAAATCAGGGAGCGGTAGGAATGCAGTGGGAGGGACTGTCCACCATGCAGCAAAGCAGGTGTGACCAGACTCACGGCATGGACACGGGTGGCCCTGGTGTGCTGGTCACGGCTAACAACTGGCCGTCCCGAGAAACGTGTTTCTGTGCACGCGTGTGTGTACGCACATACAAATTCATAAATTTTACTGAAATAAAAGATGTGAAGCACAATTTATAAGGAATAACACACAAACGTCCTTACTATAAATTCCGCATGGCTGACCGAATCTCACAGGATGTTTTTGTTGATTTTCACCGAACTCTGGTACCGGCAGCCACTCTATGGCTGCAATTAGCAAAGGAAGGTAGTTCTGAGACCTGAACAAAATTGGTTGAAAGTTCCATTTTCCTTAACGAGTTAGAGGAAAGTGAAATAAGGAAGCCCTAAGGGACAAGATGAATGCCCCCGCTTCACTGCTTTGACGGTGACGTGAGCAACTTTGTGGGATCAGGTAATAATTTCCCAACTGCCCCCTCTCATCGCCTCCCCCCGAAACATCAGCTTCCTGCCTGCCCCAGCGTGGCTGCCATCTCCGCTTAAGTTCAGAGACAAGTAACACTTTTAAGTTTAATTGTTACTCAGTAACGTAGTCACCGTCATTTTTTAAAGTCCAGATCAGTGGCCCAGCAAACTGTGGTCCTCAGGCCAAATCCAGCCCAAGGTCTGTTTTTTTAAATAAAGTTTTATTGCAACACAGCCACACTCATCTGTTTACATACCACCTGTGGCAGAGGTCAGAAATTGCAACTGAGCTCACACGGCTGAAAAGCCTGCTGACTTCTCCTGTACGCAACCAACGAAACAAGAAATCGAGCCCTGATTGGTATTGCCTGACGGTTTCCACAGCGTGAACATCCCCACCACAGCCGTTTCAAGCCTCCGGGCGCGTGGGTGGGAACAGAACATGGCGGCACCTGCGACGGCCCCCAACAGCCTCAAGTGCACGAGCAGAGAAAAATGCAGGAAAACAATTAGGGGCGTACTGAGTTTTGAGTATTTGTATGACTTCTGGGTTTTTCTTAAATATCATTTACTTGTAAGTTTGTATAATCTAATTTTTCAAAATGGTTGTATTTAACCATCAGCTCACAAAATGCCCTAAAGTTTAATGATCGGGTCTGACCACCTGGTTGCACGACATCAGCTGGACAGAGGATGCAAAGGACAGGGAGCTGAAGATGCCCCCGGTTCTGGACCTACAGAGCGAGGAGAAAGCCGGTATTTCGGACAACCTCAGATAAGCCCAGCCATTCCCGGTGTGAACCTGAAAGGCATTCCTTAAAGACATGTGTGACGTAATTTCTGCTTTGCAGAAACATACACTTCCAATTTCTGACAGGTACCACCTAACGGTTTTTAATCCCTCTCCAAAAAGAACTCATCGACCAAAAGATAAACAAAACCAGAACGGGCGATGTAGCTTAATAAGAGCACGTGAGAAAAAGACCAAGGACTTTTGTTGATTTTGACCTAGAACCTTGTGTGTTCAGAGAGGTCACTCTGTGCCCAAATGTGGGTGGTTCAGAATGGCCAGTGAACTGTCCTGACTGTGCGGACACCTGTGACCCACATTCTAAACCTGACGTTGTGAAGTTGGCACCAGAGCCAGGCACGTAAGGAGAAGCTGGGCCTTGAGCTGTCCTCAGATGTTTAAAGACACTTGACAAGGTTCTGTCAGTGGAGAAGGGGCTAGAGAATAGGCAGGTGTCCCGCCCAATCCTAAACCCGACGGAAGCCACAGGGCCACGCGCAGGGGAGGCAATGGAAGGCAGGTGCCAGGGGAGGGACACGGTAAAAGCAGGTGACTAATAAGACCCCTTCTTTCCAAATCTGTGACTCTAAGGCTGAGGAGAAGCAGGGCTGAGGGTCACCTGGGATGGAGGGAGCCTGAAGACCTCTCTGAGCAGAGCTCCCCACTTGGAGGGCCACCTACAGCTGCTTCCAGTCGGGCCCAGGCCCCAGGTCTCACTTATGTTTGCCTGGAAACTGAGGTCACAGTCTTAAGTCAGCTTCCTCCTCCTCAGAGGCTGTCTTGGGCTGAGCTGTGTCCCCTCAACCTCGGTCCACATGCTGACGTCCTAAGCCCCAGTGCCTGGGAGGTAACTGTATTTGTAGTTAGGGTCTTTAAAGAGGTGATTAAGGTAAAACGAGGTCACTAAGGAAGGATCTAATCCAGTATGACTGGTGTCCTTAAGAGGAGAGGAGGACACAGACACATCCAGAGGGATGACCGCGTGAGGACACAGGGTCTAGATGGCCGTCCACAGCCAAGGACAGTGGCCTCAGAGGAAACCAGCCCTGCCGAGCCCCGATCTCAGACTTCCAGCCTCTGGGACTGTGGGAGAATCAGTTCCTGTTGTTTCGGCCGTCTCATCTTCGGCACTTTGTTAGGGAAGCTCCGGGACGCCAATGCGGAGGCCCCTACAAATGGGGGAGACAGGCTGGGGCAGTGGCCATATCCCAGCTCCCAGGGACCCTACCCGCAGAGGTGAAGGGCCGAGCTGGGCGGGGGTCCCTCAGCAAGCTGATGGGAGGGCAAACTGACCAGAGGCATTCAGACCCATCGCGAGGAGCTCGGCTCTTCTGGGAACCGGCGTCCTTTCTGTTTTCAAACCTCCCCTAGCGAAGAGGAACTAGAAATACCGCAGGACGAGCCAGGGGGCGGGGAGCCTCCCCGAGCCCCTGGCATCTGTCAGAGAACCTCGAGCAGCATCTGTTCCCAGAAGAACGGTGCTCTGGGCTTCACCCAGCTCCTCCCCAGATCTCCCCCACATGGGGGCGGGGAACACCCGCCGTGACAGGGAGACACTTCCCCTT